CGTCGACTAAGTGTGAGCAGTCAGGAAACACTTTCCGACATTGACAGTCTGAGGGGTCAGGCAGGGAGATCCCAGGTGTGACGCTGAGCGCAACTTCCGTGAAATTAGAGAATTGGACGCGAGTTGGCGGCAACAACTTATCACAGATACGCAGGTGTGCTGCGGCATCAGGATCAGGGTGCAAGTGGAGCACCTGGGGTGCATGCAGGGCTTGTCCCAGCCCCGTCACTACGTGGCCATGCTGTGCCTCTAGCGCCAGCGGCGTGTCTGGAGTTTATTTTTTGGCTGTGACAGACCTTTCTTTGTTTCGTGGGTGTTTTGCTTGGTTGTTGCTTGTGATGGGGTGTGAACCGACAGTCTGTAGAGTTTTCCATCTGGTGTGGGTGAGTGATAGTCTGCTTTGATTTTCGTCACAGGTACCTTGAGGGCAGTGGTTGGTGCCCACCTCCTCAAAGGGGTATCAGTTGTCGGGCAGTCGTTGATGCTTAACCACAGCCGGGGTTAAGGAAGGTGGATTATCACTTACAGTGTAATCAGTTAGCGGATTCTGCAGACTGTTTTTGAGGGTTCAGCCTCTACTGATTGATGAGTCTGCTGCGAAACTCCGACGAAACAGTTTGTCACAGCCCCTCCCTCGTTTGTTGTCCTCTTCTCCCTCCCTGCCTACGGCTTACCGGGCAGACAGGTCAGGGCGTACTCACACTAGCTCTATCTTAAATGTGCCTGACTGCATTTACGCCTGGACCTGCATGTATCTGACCGCAATTACGGTTATAAATAAGTAAAAAACTTATCGAGTCCTAGTGTGAGTTCGCCCTCAGTCGTTGTCAACTGTTTGATTTATTTTTAGCTCAATGGAAAGAATGGTAAAATTTTAAATTCCAACAGAAAGACTGAATGATTTTTCTATTTTTGTTTCGTTTTTCTTTCTGTTACGATCCAGGTCATTTCCGCAGTGCAAATTCACAAGGAAAGACAATGCCACCCAATTGCGAAAGAAATGAAAGCACTTTCAAAGAGATAGAGACCAAAGAAGAAGAAGAAGAAGAAGAAGAAGAAGAAGAAGAAGAAGAAGATGTACACCAGCAAGACCAATGACAAATCCCCCTTCTCTCTCCACCTTCCTCCTCCTCCTTGTCTTCACCAATCTTATTCTTCCTCCAAATAATAATAATAACAATGAGTGGTTGAACCAGAATCAATATCTGAAGTTCCCTCTCACTTCCAAGTTGCCATCACAACATTAGGTCCACCATAGCCATGGCTTCCCCTTCACCTTCCTCTCACATGCCATGGCTATGGCAGACTACTAAGGGCTCTGCCGTCCTGTCCAAAAGACAACTCAAAGCAGCTATGGTCGCTGCTCTTCAGGCCGCCATGTGCCTGACTCGTCCTCGAAGCTTCCGTGGAGCGGCACCACCCCAACTGGGGCCTTCCAGATGCAGCGCCTAGCAAGTGATGAAGATGGTGTCCACCATAGCTAGGTAGGTACCTCGCCACTCTCCTCCTTCGCCTCGTTCTTCCTCCTGCTCAAGCTGGGCTGCTCGCCATAGCCAGGCTGAGAGGCCCAGCTGCTCTTCGTCCTCCCTGACAGCGATCTGAGTCCAAGCTGCCCGCTCAAGCAGTATGTCGTCCAACCTTGCACACCGCAAATGAGGAGGAGCTACTCGCTCCTCCTGGAGATATAGCGGCCTACTTGCCTCTTGGGCAGTAACTTCCAGACCGCGCGGCCTCCAAGCAACCGGTACCTCCTCCCTTTCGGAGCGAAACATCATTGCAGGCTCTGATATTGTCCGTACAGGCCCTAGACTGAGGCTACTTGGACTGGTACCGGCCTACCTCTTACTGCTACTGGACCTCTAAAATGCCAACTTTAAACTTTTTGTCTTCTTCTGCTCGGCCTCGAGTACCCGACACTTCTACCACTACTTGAGTGGTACCGGCCTACCTGCTACTTGAGTGTTTCTCCCGCTGCTCTAAGTGTCGCGGACCTAGCCCCGCTACTTGAGTGTTTTTCCCACTGCAACCCTCAAAGTCATGGCCACAGGTAAGTACCGGCCCTGGGGGGGCTCCAAACGAACCAGTACCCTTGCGGGTCACACACACACTGAGGCCGACAAGCACTCCGACAGGCACGCAGACCAGCCGGCACGCACACACACAGACTTAGAAAACGCACACACACACGCAGGCCGATACGCACTCAGACAGGCACACAGACCAGCAGGCACGCACACACAGACTTAGAAAACGCAACAAAAAGCAGATATCTCAGCAAGGCATACATTCCAGCGGCAAATCTCAGAAATCAGCAGTGTTCTCAGACTGTGTTTTGCCGGGTCATTACATTTCTATGTATCTATCTCTTCTCGTCCATATCTATTTCTATATTTTATTATTTCTTGAATTATAGATATGCCTGTGTTAGGCTTGGATGATAGTATCATGATACCGATGTTGCACACACTCCTTGTGGTGCCTTGTGTTGTGGGTGTGGGGCATATGCAGACACTTTCAGCTATCATGGGGGCGTCCAAGGACGAGCTGGCGAAATGTCCCGGCATCGGAGAGCGTAAGGTGCGAGTATCGCATAACTTTTCTTAACTGCTATATATACTATGTGCTACCATCTTGCCCCGAACACAATACGCGGCGGTTGCGCCCGACCTGCAGGTGGGCGACACCGGCCAGGGGTCAGCCGGCAGCATCAGGACCGATCTTCTTCTATGGGCCAGTCGCTGTGCCTCCCCTCAGGTGGTGGTCCCCTCCCCCCTACGACCGTCAGCAGTCTCTGCTTAATGCTGCTCGGGAGGACCAACGACGGCCGATCTCTAGGTGGCGGGCACCAAGCTTGCCCAATGGGGATTGAACCCAAGACCTCCTGAATGCCACTTGTGTGCCTTACCGACTGAGCTAGGCCGCTGGATACACCAAAAATTTTCCGATTGGCTCAATTTCAATTCACAAATTACCAGCGGCTGGGAATTTTTATTTTTATTTTCCCCAAATTTGGTAAAGAATTTCGATGTGATCCGGGGAAAACTAGGCTACCAGAGTGGCCCGGGGCAAGTTGCCTGGCTGGGAATTCCTCCCTCCCCCCCCTAAATTTGGTAGAGAATCTGCGATGATAGTCGGTCTGATCTGTAGCACAATTATTCCTTCTAGTTCCTCCGTGTGTGTACCGCCTCGCCTCTGAAGAGTTTCTGATTCCGAGCCTGCCAGATCGCCTTCAGTGTGATGCTTCTGCAGACTTGGGCTTTATAGCCCCATCCTGCGTCCAACGTGACTGGGGGGGCATTGGGCCCAGCCTGTGCGGATGCAGGAATCAGACCACAGAATTGCGTGGTCATCAGAACTAGACCAGCGTTTCTGAAGGGAGTTCTTTAAAAAAAAAAAAAAAAAAAAAAAAGAGGACCAGCGTTTTCTCCACCGTTGCCAGATTACAAGTGAGAATGGACAGTCGACCCACAGGTGAGAGGTAGGTAGTCTCCGATGCCCAAACGCATCTAGGGCAGGCACTGAGGGGAGACCCTCCCGTCATGCCCTTAGTGATCGACCATTCCGCCGCGGGGACTACCTGCATCGATTGTAACCATAAGAGGCTTGCCGCCTTCTGATTCCCGAGAGTTTCTGAACTTGCGTCCAGTCTCCAGAGCTTTTAGAACACCCGGCGGTCCTCAGTCATGTGGTCCGCCGGGTGTTCTTCTCATCGTCTTCTTGTAGTAGCTGAGGACAGCGGAGTTTTGCCCACTTTCCCCAGTTGGACGGCTCGTCCACTCTTAGTGCTCTATTGCATGAATCAGAGGAGTGAAGTGGCCTGGCCTAGGCACATCAGTCCATCCACAGAGCAAAGGTTCCGCCGTAAAGGAATTGCTGGGGCAGCATCCTGTACAAGTTTCTTTTCCGTTGGATTGCACTCAGACCCACACTCTCGCCTCGTTCAAGTCGTCCTCCAGAAAAAAATCACTTCTTCTTTGCCTTTACAGCTCAGGAGGTTCTCAGTCTTAGCGTTCGGCAGCTGGCCCTCGCACCGCCAAGCTGCCCAGTCAAACAAGGTGTGACCCCGGCGGCCCGGCTGGAAGCCCAGCTAGAAAATGTCCTTTTTTTTTGTTTGTTTTTTTTTTTTGTTTTTTTTTTGTTTTTTTTGTTAAATGACTAGTACCTTTGCCGTGTTTGTTTCGGCAAGTCTTAGCCTATTCCCAAACTTTTAGGAGGCTGGGCCCAACAACGGCTGCCGTTGATAAAGGTACTACCGTAGTGGTTTGAGACCAGACTGGGACTAGTAAAGGGTCGGAGGCCCACTATTTTCCGAACGGACACAGTTACTGGTGGTTTAAGGCCAGACTGGGACTATTAAGGAGGGGGGGGGGCGCGGCGGTGATATGAGCAGGCCCCCTGAGTAGGCCTATTGCTGGCTGCTCCATCTATTGGTGAGGAGCGTCACCTGCATGACGTAATTAGAATGATACATCGTAAGTGTTTGAGTCATAGTTGGCTGATCTGAGAACGCAGGCAGCACCTCTTTGCCCTTCTGCCGGGGCGCCCGGTATGTACTATCATGTCACTCCAGTGCTACCTGTGAAATGCCAGACCAAATGGGAGACCAAAATCGAATTCTGCCCTTTCTGCCCTTTCTGCTCTTTCTGCCCTTTCTGCTCTTTCTGCTATCAGACAAACAATCATTTTTTAATTTTTTTTTGGAAATTCAAAATTGTTGCCTCTTATGTCGGGGCGCCCGGTATGTACTATCATGTCACTCCAGTGCTACTCGTACCTTCTCCTGCTATATATAAATGCCAGACCAAATGGGAGACCAAAATCGAATTCTGCCCTTTCTGCCCTTTCTGCCCTTTCTGCCCGTTCTGCCCGTTCTGCCCTTTCTGCCCTTTCTGCTCTTCTGCTATCAGACAAGCAATCATTTTTTATTTTTATTTTAAGAAATTCAAAATTGTTGCCAAATCCCGTTGCTTGATGATCATCACACCGAAGAAGTTAGCGAGAGGCCCAGAGTGCACATCCGTTGGATGTCTCATCGATCACTATAAAGCCGAGTGAGGCTCGTCTTCTTTTTTTTTTTTTTGAAAATGGGGACAAGGCTCCAATCTACTGTATCAATTTGTATGTAATATGTATACATGTAATGGTATGGGACGCTGGACCCGGTTTGCAGCAGGTGAGGCTCCCGAGCAATAGATTGGAGCATCGGGCAGTAGGCCTGCTAGGGAGGGGGGGGGAGCTGCTCATATCACTGTCTCTAGCAAGCTGAGGCCGGTTCTTTTTTCTTTTTCTTAACAAAAAAAAAAAGGACAAAAAGGATTGGCTCGATCTCAATGCAAAATTGAAAACTTGCTCAAAATTGTTGAGATTGGCTCAATTTCAATTCTGAAGTTGCCTAGATGATGTATGCGCTGTTTTTTAACACCTGATGAATCTGGATGCCTTTGTGTACAGGTGCAGAACATCATGCTTGATATGCTTTCCTGCATCTCTGCCTAAAACACATCTAGATTCAGGCACTTAATTCAATCCTCTTTGCTAGTGGAACCTCGGCCCGAGTGCTTGCAACTAAATGGGATAAGTTGATGATAAAATTAATTCAGGTGTACCGTCACCCCACTGAGCCCACTCTTTTACATTTGTTGAAGAGGAGGAAAACC